GCCCGTAAAACCGACTTTACAGGCAACCATTTTTTCTTTGATATTAATAGATGGTGAGGCAAGCCTTATGATATTTTATTGGGCAAGCACAGCAAACAACAGCATTGCCCGGCGTCAAAAAACTTCCACAAGCTCTACAGTTTACCATTTTTAATCCAAAAATTTAAATTATAATTATAAAGTCTAAATAAAAGGGAGGCAAAAACAATAACAGGTGCTGGGGTCTAAAACAAATATTTAAAAAAGGAAAAAAATATATAACAAGAAATACGAATGCGGGATTAGAACCGACGACCGCGGTGATGCGTCGAACGTTGGTCCCGTGGCAAAAATTTAACACACTAGGCCGTTTCGAACGATACTGGAAAGGCGAAAATTGTGTTCATATGCACTGTTGTCTGGTTATTCTCGTTATAGAATTTCTTGATTCGGTCGCCGCGCTAAAACACAGCGATAAAATCTATGCAATAGCTTAAAAACAGTAGATACACTCCCCCCTAGAATTGGTTAAACAAAGCAAGATATAGGCTTACAACGAATGTATTTCTGTGGCTTCTGCCACCCCTCAAAGCATGTTTTCAGTAGATTCATGGAGAAAAATAGAACAGGAGAAATTTGAGAAAAACCGGAGATCTCCTGTAAAATCGGTAAACATGGCAACACTGGGGTGCGGCATATTGGATTTTCACTCGAATTGGAGTAACCTCCATCTTATAGAAGACCACAGTGAAACAAGACTAATAACACGTTTGGCAGTGTTGTTTTTCTGTCAGTGAGTAAGGTACCATGGAGTAGCGCTTTGAGTCGGGACAGGCAACGGTTCCAGGGATATTTTTTGTATCGCAAGAGTCTACAGGGCATAGTGGCTCCTAACCATCAGGCGGGCCACATGCTTGTTTTCCATCCTAAATAAATAATAATTAAAAAGATAATAAATGTTATGCAGTTTAAACGCACAAAGTACTTCTGTAACAGCTGCGTTATACAGACGTGCGCAGAAGGAAATGCCCCTGGAAACGTGCAGTACTTGACCAACTTGGTCTCAAAGTGTGAGGAGACTATGTATGCTGTGGCGCACTTGCACCAAAGTTTCTTATTCAAATTTAAAAGCTAATCGTGTATGATAAGCCTCATTCCATTTCTATTTGACTTTATACAATTGACAAATGCGGAATTATGTTTTGAACATGATTAAGATATAGAACTGTAGTACAAGTGGCCCTTAGAACTTCTTGTTATTGTTGTTAGACTAAGATTAAGGCTAATTAATAAAAAAGGATAACTTCGAGGTGTAGTGAGAATAGTCTTGACGAAATTAAAAAAAAATGTTACCATTATCACTAAATAATGTTATATTTTTTTCTAAAAAATGATGAAAGTAGGTTTGGTTCTTTTATAACTCTTCACCGCCTGCAGTATTTTTATTAAGTTCTAAAAATATAAAGTAGAAAATTAAGGTCTCCAAATCGGAATTCCTGATCATGAAACCATATGTACGGTTTCCTGCACTCAGCCACAAAGTTCTTAAATTGACTAAACAAAAAAAAAACAAATGGACATAGACAGCTCCATCGGAAATTCCGTTTTACCTATTCCAGAACTATATTTCTATAGGAAATGTGATAAATTATTCTAGTGGCTCGTGTTATCGTCCTGAAACAATTCCAAGTCTCTAGTAATAATATAATATGGATGTCCGCCCATCGGAGACAACTTCCTTTATTTTGCGAAGCGGATGCGTAAAAGGATACCTTTTAGATCTTGTTATCAATACGGCGCCGTCGTCTTGGCCACAAAAGTTGTTTATCGATATATACCTATCCCAGATGGAAAAGCGTTGTTGACTCTAATAAAATCGTAGGTTTATTATCTTATAAGTATTTAAAATGTTGTGAAAATTATCAGTTTTCAGTAGGTATTAAAAAGTCAGATCCCGAATGAAATTGAAGTGAAGGTAAAACTTATACAAAAAAAAATGTGTGCACGGATTCAAGTGAAACTTCTTTTCTTAAATAATCTTACATAAGGCGGTGCATAAGGCATAGGCGCACGCATCAGTATTCCGTGTGACGCTCATGAGGCATTTCCGTTTCATCTTTTCCATTTACACCCCGTCCGAATAGAAGTTTCACTTAAAAAATAGTTTCAGACCATGTAGGTTTAAACCTACTATCCTTAAAATTGAGAATCTTAAGGATACTGTACCCAGTTAAAGATGGTGTTCGATAAGCAACTTTTGCAATGGCCAGTCAATGGATGGGTGGAGAAAAACTTATAGTCTCGTGCCGACCACAAGGCACGTTAAGACGTGAGTTCGTGTCGTTAGCACCCACCAATCCATTCTGGTTCCGCATGCTGGATCAAATCCTAATCTGCCTATTATATCCATAAGGAATGCCTGTGCCCCGGGCAGCGAGGATATTCATAGGCTGATGACCATGTATCTGAATTTCATAGTTAGGGAGGGTGACGCTGATGATATTACATTGTTGCCGAGAGTTTCTCAAAATCTTGAAACCTTTTCCTGTTATTTCACTATAATTGGTGTCATGTAAAGATACAAATTATGCCAACAAGCATTTGTTCCTCAAAGAAAATTATTGATAATTGTATTAACCATCCATGCGGTTTACTTAATCCAATATACTTACGTTGAGTTATATTTACACAATATTTCAGTTACAAAGAAAGAATGTAATTCTTTGAAGGTTTTTTATATTTACCGCTCGATGTCAACTTCCCGGAGACTTCCTGGAGACCACGCCGATGAAGCAGATCGTTTCTTCCATAAAATAAAAAGACCTCCGATGACCTCCGGTGAACGCACGGTTTGAAGGTGTAGGTCCTCCCGACTTCGAATACCGGTGGGGCAAATGTTTGTATGATTAATACGATGATACGTTTGTACCCAGAGTCATGGCTTTTTTAAGTATTTCTAAATAAATATACTCATATATAAATTCTATCCGTTACCCTAGTATAACTTAACACAAGCTTTAAATTACTTTCTTTGAGGCTTGGCTAATTGGTGTGTGTGTGTAAGAAGATAAAATTAATTTAACTTACATCATGTATTTTGCGTCATCATTGAAATGTGGTAATATGTATTTTCAGGCACCGGGATAAAGGATTTCAAATCGAGAAGTTATTTGTAGGAATTACAACTAAAGATTGTCGTGGCTTAAGTCGCCCAGTATAGAAAAGTGGCTTCATATACATTTGCCGAGTGTAAACTCAGTTTTAGTAAAATTAATAAATACAAATTTGTGACGTCGTAATAACTGCTGATTTTCATAACACAAGTACCTCGACTATTGCTGTTTTGATTAATAATAATTATATGTTTCTCTATGTTTTCAATAACTATGATAAAATTCCTTTAGAAATTTATTAGCAAATAGATATTTGATGTGTACACACACCAAAAAGTCTAAGCAACACGCACACACACTGTTTTTGTAAATGACAGAAGCTGTATAAGTTTTATTAATTGCTGTTTATTGTTTTTTCATAGTAAAATAGACTGGTACATTTTTTTTGTTCTTGAAAATATACAATACAAAATACTTGATTGTACATTACAATAAATACAGAGCCATTTAAAGTGTTACAATGGGCGGCCTTATGGCCTTATCGCTGAAAGCGATCTCTTCCAGACAGTATAAGTTACTGATATTAAAAATAGACCTTTGCGATTGGTAAAATATGAATATAGTTACTACAATGATAAAAATCGTTCAAAAGTTCAAAACTGACAAAATGTTGCTTAGACTTTTTGATGGGTTCATTTATACTTAAATTCAGTTCAAGAAACACATTTTGCTTTTGACCAAAAGAAATTCCCAACAGAAATAATAAATTCTCATACAGATTGAGCTTTGTTTATGTTCTCCTCAGTCTCCATCAATGTCATAGATACAGATTCATAGCATTGGTCTGTAAATTTGTCCGGCATTATCATGCGGAAGAAATATAACGCGTGAATGAGCAGAAAATCAAAAAGGGCCTTTCGTTTCCTTATAAATCACTATTTGTCTTCCTCAAGCCTCAACCCTTTTCTTGGGTTCAATTTTATAAGAGATGTTTTGTTTATGTGAAGCCACGACGTTTCTTCTTACGAACCTGACATGTGTCTATTATATGTTTGTTTTACCCCCTGAATCTTACTTACCAAATATCTACTATTCCGGCTCAACTAGAACATCAACCTTTTTTTCTTTTTTTATCAAATTAATTCAGGCATTTAACAATGAAAGTTTTATGAAAATAAGATTTTCTTGAGTTTGTTTGTATATTAATAATATTATTTTAATATTTATCATTTGATGCAAACTCCATAAATAATGTTAATACACATTGTATTCAAGATTAAAATGTGAACAAAAGTTAAAGGGATAGATTAAAAAAACTAGTAATTTTGGTATTTTTTACTAAATTGTTATTTTTACAAAGAAACTATTCACATGAAAATTGTTACAGTTACATCTTTGATATTAACAGTCGACAAATAGAAGTCAGATAAAAGATGTTAGACATCGTTCGATTTATTCTATAAATAATGCTAGTTTATTTATAATATTTACAATTTCAAAAAAGGATACCTTGCAAATTCTATACATTTTTGAAATATATGTACAATAAGTAATTAAAAAAATTACCACATTGTTCAGTAAAATTGACAACTTAACGAATGATTAATACAGTCTAGAGATTGTAAAACTTATTTTAGCAAACTATGTATTTACATGTTCGAGCATTTCTGGCAATGCATTATACGCTACCATATTACCAAATCCTTTCGGTTCCTTCTTAGTTACGATTGTAACAATTTCCTCTTCCAGTGGAGGAGGAGGAAACTCAACACTCTCATCAATAGCTGTTGAGACATCATCCACACCAATCACTACCTCCCTATTGTCAACCTCGATCCTATTACGTTCAACCACGGAATTATCCTCCATTATACTATATAAATTTTCCGATTTACCTTTGAACATTTGTCAGGAAGTCATGTAAAAAGGATCATTTAAAATAACTTCGTCATTAACAGCGTTTCCTTTCTGGGACCACTCTTTTTGTTGGTGTTTAATTCTGTATATAATTTCGTCATGTATTACACCGAAACACATGGCAGTCAAAGCTAACCCAGTAAGAGTGTAAGCAGAGCAGAACCATAGGGTAGTGGAATTAGTAGAATAATATCTTACTCCACTAATAGTGGTATAGCTCATTCCTGGTATGATATTACCGAAACCTATTGTACTTAATGCCATGAAACAGAAATAAAATCCGTCTATGATACTCATATCATCTAGTTTGTATAATACAACTGCTCCTATAATTATGTAAATAAATATAGCTGCAAGGCAAAGTAATACTGGCGCTAGTATACTCAAACCGTGCATTGACAATTTAGAATCAGTATCAGGCCAACTTATGATGTCATCTTTGGCAGTACTAGTTGTCGGTCGTTCTGATATGGATAAATCTTTTTGACTGTCGGGTTTCAGGACGTAGCATTCTTCTGTTGGTGTTTTACTAGTATTTTGACTGTTAAGCATTTCTTCTTGCTGTCTTTTTAACTTCATTCTTCGTTCTTTTTCAGCCATTCGTCTTTCGTCGTAACAGCAGTAACCACAATTAGAACAAAGGCAACAGCACAATGCTCTACTGAATACGCTCCTTGCCATTTTCGATAACAACGATCCAACGCTTGAGAGATACACCAAAGTTAATGGTATTCCAATAAGAGCATAAAGAATAGTAACGCCTTTTCCTATGATAGTTCTCGGAGCGATGTTTCCATAACCTGAAATTGAGAAAGCGTTTAGTATAACAAAAACCGTAATTGATCGAAAATACATTTCCGAAAGAGTAAGCAAAATTCGCACCTATTGTAGTCAGGACTGTAAGTGAATAGAAAAATGCCAGTGCTAAATTCCATTCATGCTCCTCATAATGGTTGCTAACTTCGCCACCTCCAAATTCACCGAGTGCCATCTCCCGGTAACTGACTCCATACTGTGAGGCCATTTCGGTAGTTACTCTCTGCACTAGCTCGTTTTGAAACTTTAAGATCTCCTGTGCGGCTAATCTAGTCCAATTTTCTCTGTAGAGAATATTTAGTGATACTGTTATTTCCCAGATATTTTCTACAGCTCGACTTCTTGCATCCCAGAAGTAGTTCGCCGAAAGAGTCAAATTACCATATTCATAATCCTCCTCAGAATGTCGTTTGTTTGTATTATTGTGTTCTCTATGACTTGTTTTTTGTCTATCTGGTAATAGTCGGGGTCGTGCTGGCATTTCAACGCCTCCTTCGATTGCTAAAAATATAAACGAACCCAAAAATGTATAGGCCAGCAGTATTGAAAATATCACAACATTCGTGAGAGATCCGATAATAAATTGTTTTCTTCTATACTTAGTTGTTTTAAAACAAAAACAACAAACGACTTTCTGACGCGAAGTTTGCGCTCTCTTTTTGCTATTAGATGCCATCGATTCGGCATCTTGGCATCTATCCAAGGGTATCCCTCCATTAAGCGAGGGCTTTGTCAATGTATACTGTTCGAATCGGCCGATCGCCTCTTTATCCAGTACCACATGATCTATGTCCATTTTCGCTTGCGCTTTACCTCTCTACCTCTAGTGACGTCATTATCTTTTCGTCGGCGACTATCTGGAACAATGGAAAAATTTTCGTTAATATTACTCGCGATTTTTCCTTACACTAAGTGGATAGCCATTTTTCAAAGTCCTTTTAGATGGAGGGGAATAAGTGACAAATGAAGAAGTATGATGTTAGGAAAATGATTAATGTTCGGTTAAAATCTTGTCGCGTCCATACATTTAGAAAACAGGATCCGACTAATATTAAAAAGAGCTTTGCCCGCAACTTTTATCGTAACGAAACGGCAATAATTCAGATGGCGAATTTCGTTACCGTTATGAATTTTCTCGCCTTAAAATTGCTTAAAGTAAATCAATTCCAGATTTAAATCCAAAATAACTTTGTTGCAACAAAACATAAACTTTATTAAATTTTCACCGATTTTTAATATTTTAATACATAAATTATATTATTTTGTTATTAATATACCTTTGAATAAATAATGCATTTCATGACGATAATATAAAATATCCATGGTAATATTATAAATGGGAAAGTGTGTCTGTCTGTCTATGTCTACGCTTAAACCGCTGAACCGATTTAGATGAAATTTGGTATAGAGTTATTTTGGGTCCCGGGGAAGAACATAGGATACATTTAATCCTAGAAAAATGTTAGGTTCCAATGCGATTCTCAAAAAAATATAGTTAAAGTTGACGAAGTCTTTGGCGGCCGTTAGTTTATAAGACGAAATATTATTTTGTCGGCTTTAGTAACTTCTTACTATAATTAATGCCCCAAAAATTTGTTTTTAATACATTAACCACTTTTCAGTCCTCCTTTTCAGCTAATTGAAGGAAGATAGCGAAATCATAAAGAAAATCTATGAATTATTTCGCTATAGAAGATCACATGTCTCGTTAAAAATCTTGTATTCTAGGCACACAAATAAACAAGAGACTTTACTAATCATATTAAGTAAAAGCATCTTCGCAATAAAATATAAAGTGCTAGAGCACGATTAACGAAAAGAATTGGTTTGTATTCCATTCGGTATAGGTACCCGCCTAACTATTCATTTTACCAGCTCTGGTTCAATAATAAAATAAATATTGTACAGTTGCGATACAATACCGCATTGTTCGTGTTTTCCCCTTTCATACTATTTATTACAAGACATTGGTAATTTTCGCTCAAACCAAAATAGGAGCTACAGAAATAAAATAGAACTGTGTCAATCAAGTGTTCACATTCCATTAGGTTTCTGGATAGCTCACAAATGATTTTTTCTTTTCTGTTTATAAGAAAAATGCATTATTGTTTGGTTTCAAATTCGTGTACGACTAGGTACCACAATCTTTACTTAACCCCTAAAGGCTACAATGATTTTGTATACTAGATATTAAGGTCGCGTTGTCTGTAACATAGTTAATATCACGTCAGATACATAATAAATTTGTCATATTTTAACAAGTAGTTTTTTTTTCTAGTATTTTAAAGGGGAGTTGGGGTTGTGCTCACACACACCACGCAGCTCCAGTGCGGATTGGTGGGTGCTAAATACTGAAGATGAAGCCTAGACCAACGACTCAAAGTGCCTTCCAAAGCACGGAGGAGGTCGGAAGAGTAACCGATCACTGCGAAAGTTGCTTAACTTCAACGATCGCAGTTGGACGCGCTAACCACTTGCGCTATCGAGCTCCTGAAAAGGATGGATGAAACAACGCGACCTAAGACTACAGCGGGTGTAAAACACCCGGATTTAATCATTGGAGTAAATTATATAAAATATGTTTTTTGCGTGCGAATAGGACTCACACACGAAGGGTTCCGTACCACTATCTATACAATATTAGACATTTTATCACAGATTACTTAATAGTAACTCATATCGAGAGAAAAACGGCAAAAAATCACGTCTGTCGTATAGAAGATGGCAGCGAAACACAAAAGGAAAAATCTTTTGTTCATTTTCATCACAACTTACATGAATCGACGTTTTTAGTATTTCTTGTTTAAATACAGCATACGTGATATCGTACTAAAACAAACATATAACTTCGGTTTTTTTTTTTGAAGTGAAAACTTCTTTAGCGGCGCTATACACTTTTTTTGTATGGGCAAAAAATATTAAACTCGCGTCAGGTTAAACACGTGGGCTGATCGCATCATGACACACAATAAATTGGAAAGGTTGTTGACTTTCAATATATTGGACAAAACATAGTAATATTTTATTTTACCGTATTATAATAATAAGTCTCTATCTAGGACGTCCACGTGGTAGCTTTATTGCGAAGAAAATGCATTTTTATACAATAGATGTCTCTAGATGCGCTTAAATGTGATTCAAGTAATTTAATTTCTTTACAATAGATATCGCTAAGTGCGCTTAAGCGTGATTCATGTAAGTTGATTTCTCTGAGAGATAAACTTTTTTAATGTTATATAAATTTTTATGATTGTGTACGATAGCGCAATAAATAAATATTGTATTCTACCACATATATGATAGTACTTTTATACTGATAATTAAAGCAATTCGTGCAAAATTATTCCCTAACCATTCCAAAATATCAAAAATACGCAACGTTGATATTTAAGTTTTCACTTCTGCCGGCACTCCCGGAGTGCAACCCGTCGTTTTTTTATTTAGTTAGAGGCTTTTTCATTCTACGAATATGCCAACCGTGCCAAATTTCGGAAACTGTTATTAAACGTATGTTTGGCAATCTGTCAGAATATAAATTTCAAATCGGGCCCTACAATATTTAAGACCAAACCAATGGCAAAATGCTGCGTCAAAGATACAGACGTACCTATTTAGATGTTAATAAAAAAAATATGTCTCTAAAACAAACACAGAACTTTTTTACGTTTATTTACAAATATATCTTTCCGGTTCGTCCCCGTTGATTGATCAGACAGAATATATCTTTATATGTATAGATTTATTTTCTGGACACGCACGTTCTTTCGATTTTTCGCAAAGGCGGGAATGCTTGTTACGTGTCATGAATGAAATGTGTCCGCTATCAGGGTACCGTATCTGGATGATGTTAAAATACAGTGATATATGTTTCAAAATTATTTTTAAGATCTTTAATTATCTAGTGGAATAGGGGTTATGACGGGGTGAAGTAGTCCATATGTTAAATTATGAAAAAACAATAACCCAATACATTTTTTTTGTCAATCAACCAAAAAATTACAGAGATAAAGGACGTCAAAGTTGGGTACTGACGACACTTCTAAGTAAAAATAATAGCAGGACGTGACGTACCTCGTTTACTAACGTTGGATTTGACCAAAATATAATTGTTACAGCTCATAGGCTTTGATCCGGACATGTTCCATTAAACAAAGGACATCGACGAAATCTGCCCCAGCATGCACAAACGAAAGTCTTTCACGTTAAAAGTGAATATTTAATTTAGGTAATATCTTACAGGCACGATGTCTTGTAAAATAAAGAGAAACAAAAGACTTGACGTCATGCAACGTTTCAAACCAATATATCTTGTAATGTTTTGAAAATGTGAATAAAGAAAAAAATTACCAATAATTCTGCCTGGTAGAGGAAGAAAAAAAATGTAGACATCGTGTGATATTGTTGTTAAGTTTACTATAAATAAAATCATTTTAAATATAAGATGTTGCTATTAATTTTGATGTCCTATTCATTTCATGTTATACTAATATCAAACGCAAAAGTAGCTCTGCTGGTTGTTATGCTACATGTCTCAGCTATTGAACCGAATTTGATGTATTTTTGTAGCGCTATAAAGGAAACATTAAAAAACGTAGGCAATATGCTGCTCCGAAAATCATCATGAAAAAGGTATTAAATATTATGAGATTTGGAATTGAAATTCTATATAGATAAGTTTGTTATAATTAAAATTGAGATTTTTTAATGATGTCACTAGGTCTACCCTACTAGTAGTATACCTTATCCAAAAAAAAAACAAATTGAATGTAAACATTTATGAGTTATAAACAAAAACTTTTGCATCATAATCAGTCATCACGATTTAATATGGAGATTGGGCCGTGGCCCACTACGAGGGCCCAGTGCGGATTGGTTGGTGCGTACGACTGTATATGCAGCCAGGACTAACGGATTAACGTGCCTTCCGAAGCACGGAGGAGCTCATCATGAAAATAAGTTTTTGGTCACCCATCCAGTAACCAACCATTACAAAATTGGATTAGCTTTCACGATCGCGGGCCAAATGCGCTAACCACCTGCGCCATCGAGCTCCTCAAAAGTATGGATGAAACAACGCGACTTAAGACTACAGCGGCTTATAAAATTGCTATCGTTAGTTTGAGAGGTTTTATTTCTTGGACTTGGAATATTTTATTTATTAATAATTGCATAAAAGAAATTTGACCACACGCACATGATATTATGTCTTTAGTAAAAAAACCGACTCACGCTTCACTCATTTCGTTAAAGTAACCCCCCAGTTTCGCACCTTCTAACTGAGGGGTATTGATATTTTGATAGATTATACTGTTTGCCGCTTCAAATATTCCGATATATCACTTGTATCAAAATTTGATAAATTTTCTTGGTGACGTGATTGGGAGCAGTCACTAAATTGTGAGCTTTATACATGCATACCCTCAAATATTGTCAAAGGTGTGATATCATGGGACAAACAGGTATGAATATTTGATTTTTTAAGGTACCTACGTTTTATGTATTTCGTTTCCTCGCAATCTAGGTGAGAGGTTTTCAAGATGTTTCTTGCGGCGCGTTTGGGAAAAATGGTGTGAATGAATTTTACAATAAAATTCCTTCCAAAACTTCAGCATAGATCAACTTAACAAGAATTTGACATGTGATTCTTCCTTAAGTTCTAAAAAAATTAAAACAAATATATATTTAACTACCTGTGCCCGCGACTTCGTACTCGTGGATATCGGATAATAACAACATCTGACTGTAACATGTCCACATACATGTAGATTAGTATTGATTTTTAGATAGCCAGTAATT